ACGAAAAATATGGTCGGCTTAACGAGCGTTGACTATATTTTAGCCAAGCTTGCCAATTACTCCTTCTGAGCTTAATTCAGATAATTCTCTGATCGCACCAACATTGATAGGTGAACTCAATTTAGTGATGATATCTATTAGCGTAGTATTCTCTCGATTTCATCGGTAAATCGAGCTCTGGCTGTAATTAGTATTGAAATACTATAATTTGTCATTCTAAAAATCTAAATGGTGAAAGATAACGTGTTGTATAATAGTTTAACCATAAAAATTGCAAGCAGATTGAGTAGTCGTGTAATAATACTCTTGTTCGTGTGATGTTTATATCGAGAAAGCTAATCATTCTATTTCTTCGTCACATTAAATGTTGTTCCATCTTCATTATCATTACCATAATGCAAGTTTAGTCACTGACATCATTAAAAGAAAAGAGTGAATAATTATACAGGAAAAAAACCATTTTTCTATTGCCAGGTTAATATTGTACGTATTACACGTCGGGTACGATAACCAATACTTTTCGTTTCGTAGTATGTACAAAATTTATCGCGGGCGAACGGAAATTCCGGAACATAATCATTCACGTTTGTTACATGTCTAACATTGAACTCATAATCCATTCATCCCAACAAAACGTAAGCCAACTGATTGTTTTTCAGATGCCCATCTGCAATTTTTTGCATCTTTCAAAGAGTCCACATCTTCATGCCAAACTTTATCTACAAATGCTTAAACTATGGTATCTTTCTGTGTTGAAAAGCTTCTAATTTCCCACTCGATATAACCTGATTCTTATTCTTTGTCATTTCTCTTTTACATGTGCCATGTACCAAATTGAATCAAGACATTGATTTGATTTGTAACAATTTAGAAATGAAATAAATTTCACAAGTTCTCTTTCGACTAATAATTTTTCAGGTCAAATCAGCTGGCGTATAAAGAAATTATCACCTACACTATATTTCAGAGTGCTACACTTGCAATCGACCAATATCAAGAATTTCAATTGCTGAAACCAAGGGGAAAATATTTTTGTCAGTAACAAATTATTCCGAAGTTTACAAGTCATAATTTTATTGTGGCGTATTTGTCATAGCCAATGTTTTAGCATTAGTTGCATACATATACATATTGCACACGAGTGCACTTTGACGAATACAAATTTGCAGTAATAAATGAACATTTAATCGAGATCACTATATCCTATGAGAGAATCGATTTTTCTTTATTAATAGTAATAGCGCTGGTTACAGTAACATCAACTGTTTGTTTATATTTACATAATGCTATTGTGCATAATTAATTTCATTCACGAATAACGATAACGTATCGGATGTGTGCCTTAAAAAAATATTCCACGATTTTGTTGTTTGTCACTCTAATATACATGTATTTGTTTAAATCGATATCTTTTATTGAAGAAACGTTGTGTCATCAAATATTAAACTCGTTGCAGGAAATTTAACCTCAAAGTTATTAATTAGTAACGGTAACAAAATTGTTCGAAGAAATTAATTAGTTTTCACTGGTACATTATGCGATGAAATGTAGTATATAAATTTTAGTACGAGACAAAAACTATGCAACTACTTGATGAAGGAAAAACTTTAAGCAATGAATTCAATATCATCATCATTATCTCCGATTCACAATAAACCAGATTTGACTTCAATAAGTAAAATTAATACACCTAAAGTAAATTCTCAATTGCAACGAAATCAAAAAAAAACCCCCAAAACGAGAGCAAAAAATAACAGCGGCGAAGACGACAACTATCTATCATCATCTTCGTTATCTATTAAATAATACAGATAATTCCAAAGGCAGTGACATTAACAAAACAAATGAACTATGGATTTTGCTAAAAAAAATACGCTATCAATCAACTGATCGTGTAATGATAAAATGCATTAAAAGAAATGCGTGATATAATTCGAGACATCAAAACCTATTTTGTATCTCGAACTAACTGTGACGAAAAAATGAATCTGATGTACGTATAAACGATAAAGTGCGCCGATGATTCGTTATTCAAAAAATTTTAGCAATGCTCCGTTTTTGATGCACAAAGAAATTACTATAAGATTGCTAGTCATGAAATTAATTTTGTTTTATTTGTTTGTTTCATGTACATGTATTATTATTATTATTGGCATTGTACACGCACAATATTAATGGTTTTAAACATATCGATATCGATATGCTCAACGTTAATTCATTAATTGTTTCGATACAAAAAGCTAAAATATATGTCATGCATCTTGCCTTCGTTATTATACATGTATTACCTTGACATATTTTATTAAATGCGCAGTACAAAACTTTAGAATTAAATATAATTTATTGAAAACACTAAAATGGAAACCTTATGTAACTATGTGATTTGGTTGCCTACATGTTTTGATACAAGTAATAGCGATAGTAACATATAAAAATCTCTAATAGATTATCATTCAACTATTGATTCTTCAAAAATCGCTTTATAATTTTTGTCAACAAACAACTCGTTTCCGAGTAGATAAGGCATAATTGTCTTTAAACCATTTTATTGGTAATTTGATGATGGGAAGATGAATCATCTGGTATATTAAACTGATAAGATAAAGATTGATTGAAAATTACTTCCCGGTCACCAATTAGAATAGTATTAGGTTCTAGTAGACTTCAGATAGCGTAATGACGACACAATTTTGGGTTTCTCGTTAACGTTAATATCGAAATTTTAAATTTGATTATAGTAAACAAATCATAAAGTATAACATAATCATAGCAGCTTACGTATTTCCTTATTCTTGATATTGTTTTATCTATTTAGCATGTGGCATGATTTTGTGATAAATGACATTGCATGTGTGTCGTTTATTTAATTAAATGACCGAAAGAACATGGATCTTTTCGTCTATCGATTAGTAAACAACGGGATATTCATACATATCGATATGCATGTATGTACCCTTACGCCGCCGCCGTAATGCAAGAAAAAGAAACTAGCTAAAAAGATAACATAAAATACGTATTTCTGGAAATCAATGTTTATCGTTATAACCCAATTATTATTTCTCGATATTCCACACTACCGCTACGTATACGAACGACTGATCGATTGTATCACTATCACTATTAACGATTTATTTTCTCATTCATGATTTATCGTTATTCAACAATAACAATGATTTCAGTATTAGATTATTGTATTGGAAGCTTTCAAACTTGCGCGTATGTTCAAATGACCATTTTCATTGAAATTTTTACTATATTAATCCGTATGTAATGGTAATATAACGATAAATGATAGACCAAGCCAAATTTATCAAACTGCTTAAAATATCGAATGTGCAAATGTCGAATACGGCAAGTGCCACGACCGTGATTTTAAATTACAACGATTCTGATTCGTTTAAATTCGAGATCCAAGCATGAATTTGCATGAATATATGCAATCTATTATTGTCGTGTCGCAATCGCGCATGATTGGTCATTTGGTTAGATATTTATAATTATGATATTAATATTTGTGTGTTGTATTCTTTTATCAAAGAAAAGGTAGTTTTTTCCTAAATACACGCGAATATATATGCAAAACGCTCACACTCCTTATTATTTATGTAACTTGGTTTTTGCTGTCAAAACGGCACAACTGATTCACTACTTTCCTTCGTGCTTTCCTATTCTTATTACCGCTATCCCTACACTTCAATTTTCTTTACTTTGAATCAGATATTCCAAGAAAATTAATTAAAAAAAAATAAAAACGCAATTTAATCACAAATCCTCTTGCGTTTAGCTATTCCTTGACATCCCTGAATTTACATCAAGAAACAATTCACGACCAGGGATATTTTATTGTTCATCTTATTTGTTCAATTGATTTATCGTATTATTATTTTGGCGTTGTCGTATAACTTCCCGTAAAACGCATTTACTCTTTTCGCAGAAAACGAGCATAAAAAAAAGCAAAAAAGTCTTTCACCGAATTATATATACCCAATATAATTATAGTAGTAGCAATTAACGTAGAAAATGGCAGTTAGTCGTGAGGTAGCAGGAATGTTTGCCATTGTTTCAGCTGGAACACTAAGTAATACCGCGGTTACAGGAATGCTAATATGGATTACTTTACAAAAACATCCAAATATGACCGTTAGTCGATTGGTATTGAATATGTTGCTTTCAGATTGGCTGCAAAGCATTGGATTTATGATGAGCTTAAATTGGATTGCACAAGGTGGAATTACTTCTGGTATGTTTTGCGACGCTCAAGGAATTCTCATAAATCTTGGAGACATAGCGTCAGGTAAAAGCTATTTTTTAATTTTGCTTTCTCTTATAATTTGTTTAAGAATAAAATTCTCATTCTCCATCATCATCATTTATTAAGGATTTTGGGCAACAGCAATTTGTCTGCACACTTATCTAGCCGTAGTGCATTCATATGAGCCACGATGGTTTCTATCGGTATCAATGATATTGATTTGGCCATTAAATATATTCGTATCAATAATTGGACTGTACATACAAACACCCAGTCAAAGATTTTTCGAATCAGCTGGTGGCGTATGGTGTTGGATAAGTGCTAATCATAACTTCTATCGTATTCTATTCCACTACGGAATCATCACAGTACTGGCGGTGACCATGTTTGCATTATACGGATTGATGTTTGTTCAGGTGCGTCGACAACAAGGATCTCTTGAGATGTCTCACTCAAAAATTGTGTTGCGCCGAACCGGGAAAAAGCTGATTTATTATCCAATTGCTTATATTGTTTTGGTGTTCCCGATGTCATTCCGTATGTTCTTTTATGTTGGTTTTTCGATTGTTGGAATTCCCATTCGTCGTCGTTGTTTTTTAAAATCGATTTTTCTTTTCTAGAACGATATCTTGGTTTCGCTGGCATCAAATTACCATTTGTATAGTAAGTTTTTTTATATTGCCCTATCTGATCATTTAGCCTTTCTCTTTAACAATATAATAACTATATCGAACAAAATGTTAGTATGATGTTCGCCGTATCTATATTCGCCTTAGCCGGCTTAGCCAACAGTATAATCTATGGATTCACTCGTCACGTGGTGGCAATGAAACCTCTGTTCGAACGTGAATACAACGAAAAAACTGTAAACGACCTCGCCAACACACCAGCAACAATACTTGGAGATACACAAGATATGTTATTCATTCAGGTGTCTGCTAGCACGAATGAAGGCGAGAAACCTGATCGGCAGGGTCGAGGTGGTGGTTCTGAAGGAGCCAAAAAATTCTCACGATTCAATAACATTAACAATAATAATATTAGAAATAGTTACGTTAATAATATTAGAAACAGTTACACTAATAATCATAAATTCGCGTTTAATAATCAAAACAGCCATACTGTCAGTAATTCAGGAATAGCACTGAGAAATGATACTGGCGAGATCAATAATTTATCGTCGGATTCACTTTCGTCTGTTGATTCGAATGATGGAGATCGTCCGATGGAATTTGTTGCGTTGTAAAAATCACAATCATTGTTACATGTACAATAGCAGCAGGGAATAACAGTATTATTCATAACGATAATTGTATTTTTAGATTTTTGTTTTATTTACAAAATGGTATCAGTTTTTAGATTCGTCAACTGTATTGTGTGCGAATAGATCTGTCAAAATTTCTATCGCTATAAAGCACGCAAATTACCGTTACGTAGAATTTCCAATGCATTTGGCTTATTCAAATAGAAACAACTACATATTTAAAAAAATTGATATTTTCGAATTTTCGCGCGTTTTAATCGACAAAATATCAAGTTATTATTATTTTTAATTAGTAGCGATAACCAAAAATTTCGAGTACATGTGCACTACGTACGGTAACAACCAATTTATTTTGTAGTCTAACAATAAGTTTCTTTCTATGGACAAACACGTATGCAGAATTTGCATCGAATTCCTCAAAGTTGAGTTGTAATAAACACGCATGCATGCCAAGAAATCGAGACAAGCCCAACACAACAACAAAAACATTTACACTACACTCTTTTAAATGAATCTTATAGTGCCAAGAGTATGCATTATATAATCTTTTAATGCATAGAATGCGTATATACGTATTAATCCAATTGCTTTTTGAAAGACGGTGTATGTAGTGGGATTAGTTTATAATTTCAATTGTGCACAATTATTTAAGACAGTCACTTGTAATTTACACAGTTCATAAGAGGCATTAAGCAGTCGCATTTTATTATACGATAAAAGTACCGCAAATTAAAAATATTTCTAATTCAAATGTTATGCCTAGACTTGTTACATGTAGAAGTAAATGGTTTATTATCGTTATTACGTACTTGTGTAATTTATGCGAAACTTTTTATAAGAACATTATACAGTAACTTCGAACTTTCCCTAAATGCAATCATTATCTCTCAGTGCACAATTACACACAGTTTCAGACACTTTATAAAGTAAAATAACACAAAAATCTAACGTTAATGAAAAAATCTATTAATAGATTACTTGGCTTAGCAAGAATAACATTATGCATTTGATTGAGTGTTAAATTTTTAGTGATGTCTTGGTATTCAGGATCAAATTCAAATGAAATACCACAGTTCGATCTGTTTGATAAGACAAATCAATGGTGATATTTATGTTCAAATCATTCCACAAGATACCAAGGTGCTTTGACCAAAAGTGACTGTATCATTTTTTCTAGAGTATTTTGATAGCTAGTAAACGTAAATACCACTGTTTGATTCATTTTATCCAAACAGATCGAATGGTGATATTTCATTTGAATTTGATTCCTGAATACCAAGCTATCACATATAAGACCATGTTATTTAACACCTAATCAAATTCATGATAGATTATACAAAAATGCTCAATAAAAATAAGAGCTTAATTCATAAATTAAGATTTTTTCATCAGATTTTGTGTTATTTTACTTTATAAATGTTCACATCATTTTGATCGCTCTCTGGGTTGATCTTACATTTACGTATTCATTTTTTACTTTTCAAAAAGAAAATTTTCTTTTATTGAAGATTATCTTAAATAACTTCAAATCTTTTGAATAAAATATGATCTTCTTTGAATTTGGCAAAAAAAGATAATTTACTTATATCAAATTCCAAATATCAGCTATTTTATACTTTAATGTTAAAAATTTGTTGTGAAAAATAAATTATATAGCAATAAATAAGCATATATAAATAAATTCACCACTTATTTTCAAATTATATAGATTTAATAAAAATAACAAAAAATATTACAATTATTTTATAAAAAAATAGTATTCTTTTCTTAGATCTTTTCAGAATTCAGAAAATTTAATCTAAAAAACCTAATAAAAATCTTAATATTTTTATCAGATCTAAATCAAATTAAATATTTTTTAAATAATCAATATTTAATTTGAAAAAAATCTGATATACTTATCTTGGAATTTTTAGATTTTTCTTAAATTAAATATTATTTTAAAAATATTTAATTTGATTAAGTCTAATAAAAGCCAATTAAAAATTAATATTGAGATTTTATTAGATTAAATATAGAAAATATTTCAAAATATTTATTTAATTATTTTATTAAATATAAAAAATGATTTAAAATCTGATTTTTATTAATTTCAGATAGATACAATAAATAATATATTTTTAATTTTTATTAGAAATTTAATTATTATTATCTCTTAAATTATTATATTTAGTAGACAAATTTGCCTACTAAAATTCTATAAATTTATATCTAATATATTTTTATCAAAAATTTGTTTAATATTAACTTTAATTATATTGTTACAATTATATTACAAAAATTGTTAATTCTATAACTTATATGTAATAATTTTCATATATTTATGTACAGTGGCAATCAGAAATAATGCAACGACATCAAAATTTACTAATTAAACATAGTAAAATGCATATTTTTCTCTTTATATAAAAGTTTTCAATTTTACTAATAAATATTTTTTATTTTTACATTAAAATGAAGATAATAT